GGTTTTTCTGATGATGATGAAGGTTATTACTACAATTTAAATACCGGCGAAACTTATAGAAAATCAGATCGTTCAATATACGCATATTAAAAAATTTTTATTTCACATCAACACTTTTCTACCTGTGTCTCCACTAATTAATAATCGCAAACTACATTGTAAAAAATCGCGTAAAAATTAAAAATAGGAGCCCAGCAAACCCCCTCCCTTTATTATTATAAAAAATTATATTGCCAGGACGACAATATAATATACAAATAAAAAATATATATCGCTATTATAAGTGCGAATACATATAAATAAAAAAAAAATTATCTTTGATAAACAAGGATATGGATGCGATTTCCTAAATCATTAATATCAAAATATTGTAAAACCATATTTTGCGGTTCCATGTATTTTTTTACATCTCGAGCGGTATCATTTACGTAGAGATCAAAATCGGCAAAAGGAACGTTATTTCTAATCATATTTTTAAGGTTGGCAACTGATGTATTTTGGAGATTATTTGGGGGAATATCAATTGAATTATCACTGCTGACACGATAATTAAAAGTAATATTCGCCATTTTCGCTTCCTAACATAAAAATAATAGTAAGTAGAAATTCGCTTTCGAAATAAAAAAAAACATATAACAAACAATGTATGTTAACCAGACCTTGAGAGTAAATTTTAAGTAAGTTAAGCCAAAAAAATATATATGAGCAAAAAATAACGTTATTGCTAACTTATCTTATGGGCGGGGAACTTGCTTATTTTTATACCGTCCATTCGCTAGGTCTGAGAACCTGCCAGAAGGAAAACTCCATTAGTAATTACGTTACCCAAATCCAACGCCAATTTTTATCTCCATAAAGCAACTCCGCTCGGTCATAGGTTCCAAATACTGAATGTATTTTATTATTTTTTTAGGTGAAATTAAACCCCCTTAGATTCGACGATCGCCTAAGGTGGATTTAGATCTGACGATCTCGAGATGGCGGAGATCTCAAGTTCATACAACATATGAATTTTGATAAAACTACTGATAAAGAACGTTATACTCATTGCCCTTATAGCCTTTTTAAGACCCATTTTTATCGCGGGATCTTATATAAGGTAAGAGAAAAGTTCTAGAGCGCGTAGTTATTAACTGTTAATCAAAAATCGACCGTGAGAAATGTTTCTGCAGGAAAGTGACACCGCATAAAATTTAATGCAGGCCATTGATTAAAGCCGGTCAAGTTTTTATCGCACATTCTGATAAACCTGAATATCAAGTGATCGCTATCGTTATTATAAAAATATAAAAATATTAGTTAGTTAACTAATAGTTAACGACAGCCTCTGGAGGCCGTCAGAGGCACAAAATTTATGCGATAAGAATTTGTGCAGATCCGTGGGACCGTCAAATCAATATTTACTTGCATTTGTATTTACAATAAAAAAAATGCGATGCTAGATGTTTGATCAACATGCTTTGCTTCATTATTCGGTTATTCTAAATTTGTAAATCGGGCTTGGGATATATAGCATGTAAAATTATTACCGTACCCTGCTAACTATCTAATCCCAAATATAGAAAACGTGCGATTGTTGATTGATTTGCCGTGTCCAATAATTGTGGTGCCGAATTTAGTAAAGAATTAAATTATTTGTACTGTAGAAATTATCGTGCTACGTAGACACCAAATAAAAGTTGACTCGTGTTTAATTATTGCAATACCGAGTCATTTATATTGCATACTGCTTCGTGGTAAATTGCTATGTATTGAAACGCATAAAAATAAAATGCAATCTCTAATAAATAGAGCCAATAAATAGGGCCACCTTTAATATGAAGGTCCGTTCCAATTTTGCTTTTTTTTTTCTTTAAAAAAAATCTTTATAAAAATTACTTACCTGCTATATAAGCACTATGTCGTCCCAAAATAAATCTGTCGCATTATTATCGAAGGCCTCTAAAAGAAATCTACGTAAAAAAGACCTTCGTGCCATAAAAAAAGCCAAATTTGAAAACCTTAATATTTCTGTCGTTGAAGATAATACTAATTCCACACCCAATATTAACCTGGCCGATGAAAGAGAAGATATTTTCTACGATCCTCTAAAAGTAAGTTAATTAATTTTGATACAAGTAAACCCCTATTATTTATAGTATAGTCTTCTTAGGGGCAGTTTTCACCTTTCGAGGCAGGCCTGGGATCCGACTGTTCCCTCCCCATTGTTACTATTATTGAGGGCGTGATCGTCAAATCATGATTGTCTTGTTGCGAGGAGAGGAAGACCGAACGAGCTTCCCGTTTAACACTGAGCTACAAGATGAGAAGTGATTCGAATGTATCCACCTCAAAACATTTTTAACTTAATAAAATATATCATCTCATGAGACATTTTCTGAATATATATTCTTTAGCATAAAACCCAATCAGAAACCTGCCAGTCGACCGAAGACGAGGCTCATGAATATATCCACACCCGATGAATATCTGAAGATAGCCAAAAACAAAAAAAATATAAGTAATTGTTAATATACACTTCATAGATTTTTATTTCACATTGGCGCCCCGCCTTCTCACAATTTTTGCTTGAGAACCCGAGCCAGAGAGTAGGTGGCCACTTTGAAATGAAGCCTTCTGCCAATATTTATATAATAGATTACGCAGAAGGCTTCATCTTAAAAGTATGTACCTAGTCAGAATAAAATCATGAGAAGGCAGTATTGTGATCTCAAGAATAGCATTAGGAAAACGGTGGACAACTAATGTGTGCACTTGTATTTGTGGCTCCTTTTCGGAGTACACATCGTGTGCAAACTACTATCAGTTATAGATGTGTCAAAGGTAATCAATTTCTGCATCTCTGAGCTTGCAAGAAAAAAGTTTGCGAACAAACAAATCATCTTGGTTGTGGTCCATCTTACATATGTCACTCCAATTTCAGGGTTGTGTCCCAGCCCAGTCTAATCGCTAATGGATCATCAATTGGTTTAGTGAAATCAAAAACAACGAAATTCTGATTTCGCAGATGCTTGTCAATAATTTTGGATGCTCTTTTCGGATCATCCGTATATTGGCGCACAACTCTACATATGTCTTCTCTAGATCCACTCCCTCGGAACATGACTAAATGGGAAATATTTTCACGAATTATCTTTGGTACGGCCTGATATTTCTGAGTTACGTATATTGGTGAGATGTTTTGGTGCCGACCACTAATAAAGTAAGGAATGATGCGCTCTTGTATTTTTTTTGATTCGGCACAGAGATCTTCAAAAACAATAACAGTACTTCTTTTTGGAGAGAACTTACTTATATCTGGAATCTTTTCCGCCTTTATTGTTTGAAATGAGATATTCTCCTGATATGGCTCAGGGCTATTAGCAAAAATATGGATAGCATTTTTTACCAGCTCCTATTTTGGCTCGGCATGCTTTCCAACTAAAACGAGATCATCATTTTTAATATATCTATTACCCTTCTTGCCTTTAAACATGCGCTAAAGTTTATTGCCTAGAATAAGGTTTATAACCATATTAGTTTTCCCACTATGTGAACCCCCAGTGACTACCATACGAAAAGGCCAGTCTGGAGAATATTTATTGCCTTTCATTCGCTCCAAAGATTTTCTGGGGATTTCATCGACGTTATACACAAAGAATTCCATATAGTATTATACATCAAAATTAATTTTTTAGTAAATTTCAGCCAGCCCGCCAAGAAAAATCAACCATCAACCAGTTTACGGTCTCGATAAAATGCTAAGAAGAAAATGCTTCCCAACCTAGCTTGGAGAATTACTTAAGAATCCTTTCTCAATTAATGTATACCTTATATAGGGAAAAAGGTCACACGTATAAGGCACTGAGATAAGACATATACCTTCTTTTTTACATATATCTCGCTTTTTTTGATCTCGGGATTTCTGTTCATCCAAATCTATTTCTCCTCTTCTATGAAACATCGAATTTAAACTATAGTGTTGGGGTCCCTGAAATTCGAACGCTAGACGCAATTCCTCGTTATACCCATCAAGATGCATTTCATCCAAAAATTTAGGCCTACATGGTGGGAATTTCTTACCTAAAAGATCCTCAAAAATATATCGGCATTGGCGTTCGCTAGTATGGTGGCATAAGGGGCACCATTCGAATTTTTTCATAATATATTTTAACGGATACTCCCATTGATGCGCACCACTCTCACAAGACCAGAGATAGATACCCTGTCCATGTACCTGGCCAGTTTTCATAATACAATGCCCATTACGCTTTCTAGCATAATTTTTCGCTTGATCTAGCTCGCTATTGGTAGGGGAAGCATATGCAATATGTATGGATAATATACTTTGAGGGGGAAGCTCGGGATCATGAATCAAATGCATGAGTTCTTCCCGCACAAACCCACGTGATGGGGCGTATTCTCCATCGAGATAATATAAAACTGGTTCATTCTTTATGACAACCACTTTTCGGATTTTATAAAGATTTGGCGTCCATGTCATGTCTGTCGCACGCTTCTGATTTTCCATTCCCCCCTCCCATTCCGCATTAGCAAGAAGATAGCGAACAGTATCGCCTTTCTTTAACGTTATTTCATCTTTTCCAACCGGACACTTATATTTTGTAGATGGCCTAGATTCTACTCGTTCCAATGTAATGGCTTTCACAGGCTCGAGACCCCACTTTTCTGATCCTGGTTCTCGAATAAGACGTGTGGGATAGTTATTTAGATAATTTATAACTTCTGGTAAAAATCTAACCCACGCTCTTATTAATTTAGGATTGGAAGTTATCGATTCAATAGCATACTGGGTCTTATACAGAATTTTTGAGAGTGTCTGATTAAAACGCTCTACTAATGCAAGGCCTCGATGAGAATATGGACCAATCACTCGGATTATGACATTATGTTCTTGCATCAATCGGGAAGTCTCACCCATAAATTCACGACCCCCATCACATTGTAAAAGCTTTGGCCATGACAATAGATTATTTTGATCGCCATATATTTTCTTAAACGCTTTAGCAACTTCAGAACTTTTCTTTGATCTAAGAGGGACTGAAGCCTTATATCGGGAGGCACAGTCTATAATGTTAAGTACTGCTTTATATTTTTTACCCCTATAGTGGTCATGAGTGAGAAACAGTATATCGCATTGATGAACGCAATTAGGGCGTGTTATTCGTTCATAGCTAATTCTAGGAATGTATTTTGGAGAAGTTTTATTGGTTTGGTATGACTCCTGATTTTCTAAAAAATCTTTGCATTCACTTAGGCAAAATCGACGCCCCTCTTTTTTAAATGCATCTCTCAGAGATTTAGGATTGGAATAATATCCAGATGGGCGATAATATACATCACGCATTATAAGATTTTTTTCGATTCTCTGGGCCTCATCTGGATCGATATAGATAACTGGTTTTTCCATTACTTTATTTGACAATAGTAAATAAAAAATATGGAGGAATTACAACAGAGTAATCAAAAACTCCATGAGGTAGTATCGCAATTAGCAGAATCAAACAGAAATTTTGAACAACGTTTATATACCTTAGAAAGAGTTATTGGAATACGGGAAGAGAGAATACGATTTCTTGAAGAAGAGTTAAATAATGCTATCGAACTCTCTACACAAGAGAAAGAAGAATTAATAGAAGAAATTTCAAAATTAAAAAGAATCGTTCACCAACTCGAGGAAGAAAATAAAAGGAAAGACAAAGAAATTTCTAATAAAGATAGATTAATATCAGAATTCGATGAACGCGAAACAAAATTAAAAACCCGAATACGAGAGATATCTAAATCGGCTGGAAACACGCCTAAAGCACAAGATTATACAACAAGATTAGTAGACGAAAATGAACGCCTTAAACGAGAAATAAATACAATAAGGGATAATCAAATAAAAAGAATTAACAAAATAACTCAACAAAAAAATCGTATTACTAACCTTCTTTGCCAAAATTTTGCGCTAGCATTACTAAGATACCGAGATAGAAAAGAACTTATAAATATACGAGAAGCTTTACAAAATGCACAAGCATGGAATAATAATGAAGACGAATCTGATTCAGATGAAAATTCTTCAGACTTATATAATTTTGATTTAGACATGGCTACAATAGCTGAATTGGCCGATGCTATAGACCGATCTCTAGATGATACAACAATATGTAAAAGTATTATGAAAGCTCAAATTAAAAGAGCAACAAGATCAATTCGACATAAATATGCTAGCCTGCAACGAGATCTGGTGAACGAACAAGGGGATCGTGATACATACAGGCTGGAGCGAGATCAGGCAATGCAGGAGCGTGATCAGTTGCGGACTAATGCTCAAAACCAAATAAACAGAATGATAAATAATATAGCAAGAAAGCAGACCCGTATTGGTGAATTGCTAGAAGAAAAACTAGCCCTTCAGCTAATATATCGAAGGTGCAAAGCTGAGGCTGACTTGTCAGAATTCAATCGCGCCTGGGTATTTAATCGTTATCAAAAATGGAAGACTCAGGAAATTAATTCTCGCCAGAATATTTTAAATTTAAATCAACAAATTTTTGCGCTTCAAAATAATAATCAACAAAATCGAAGAAATATGGCAACAATTCCGGCACCAATATTTTCAGGTAATCACGATGAAGATGTTGAGATTTTTATTAGTCGATTATCAGCATATTTGGCTGGTATAGATGTGGACCCAGTTGGTGCAACAAGAGATAGAGCTTTTGGTATTCTTAGAGGATGTTTATCTGGACTAGCATTAGATTGGTTTGATCGAAAAATTCTTGGTAAGCGATGGGAGCTTCATAATATTCTCGCAAATCATGGACAAGCCAATATAGCTGGTGTTCAAGTACGTACTATGGCACAGATAAATACTAGCAATAGTTTTAGAAATCCTTCAATAGCCCATACCTATGCTAATACTCCTGCTAATAATGCTGTAACGGTAGGGAATTCAATGATTCCAGCAAAAGCTTTTATTGAAGATTGGAGCTTAGCTGGAGGACGTCCATCGGAAAGACCCGCCAATGCAGTAAATGCAGGTAATAATAATCCTATTATATTTGATAATATACGGATTGGACAGGCGTTATATTGGCTCAAGAATGAATATCCTACAGTGCTTAGTGAAAAGTGCAATCTAGTGTTTGGTTCATTAGCTCAAGGGGATGATCCTCTAGGAATATTTTATTCAAAACTTAGAAAATATGGACAAATGCTTAAACTTGATGAGGAGCAAATTAAAGGTCAGTTTTTACGTGGCTTATCTCCTGATCTAGAGGATGATGCAGAACGTATTGGTACCGAACAACCCTTAGAAGAACTTTTTAGTACATTAGAACGAATTGAAACACGCAGATTGGAAAAAAGACTAGGATTAGTTACTAAAATATCTCAGTCTAGTTATAAGCCATCATCTAGATCTCATGAAAAAGATATTTACTCAAGCAATACAGGTGTGAGTAGAAATGAAATCATAGATTTGATAAAAACTACAATGGCTTCCTCACAACCTCAAATAGCTCAACAGAATGCCGATTTACAGTCTACCATTAAATCCTTTCAAGAGACTATGTCTCGAGCGACTAAAACTCTAGATAATAGTAAAAAATCATCTAAGAAGAGAGCAGAAAATACTGCCATTAATCGCTTTTTAA